ACACACACACACACACACACTTTCTGCTCTACACCCCACACACACACACACACACACACACACACACACACACACACACACACACACACACCAATCTACTGAGTCTAGCTATTGTTGCTTGTAAGTATGTGTGTTTAGAACCGACCAATTAGGATTGGAGAACCTATCAGGAGGTTTATCCCTAGAGAAAACTGATTCTCTCTCCCTCAACAGCCATTGATTGCCTTTAGTTCTTCATCCAGGGGTAGGGTTGTATGAACCTTTCTCCCACACAGAATAGCATTTTGGCTGATATGGTCACTGTGCAGGTCACATGCAGACAACCATAGTGTTCAGAGTTCATGATTGCAGCATCCCTATTACATCAAAGACACTATCTCACAGTAGCCATTTTGATCCTCTGATCTTTCTACTTTCTTTCCCTTGAGTTTTAATGAGCAGGTCTCTTCATGAGCTACTTAGAACACCCAGAGAGAGCTTTTTTTTTCTTTTTAAGTTGGGAACAGGAGATTAATTTCTTGCTCTACAGTGGATCTTGGCTTCTTTTAAAAGTCTTCTCTGAGACAGCCTCATCTACTGATGACACACTGGCGAAGATGGTGTAACTTTAGTGACTCAAATTACTTAGTGTTAAACATGTACAAAGGAGTTTCCTTCTCCATGATAGTAACTCCTTTCTTATCAACTTTGAATAAAGTTCTCATTGGTGCTCTACAAGCAAGACTGCATCCGATGCTTTATGGCCAATTTTAGGGAATCTTGCAAAGGAATAAATATTTTTCTTTCACAGTCTGGTTCCTTCCCTCCCAGAATCAAACTTTGCACTGGCTATCACTAACTACTGAACCTCTTTGTCCCTATTCCATCCATCAATGTTCACCTTGTATCATTCTTCACTTTGTAAAACCACGTGTGTGTGTGTGTATTAGTGTGTGTGTGTGTGTGTGTGTGTGTGTGTGTGTGTGTGTGTGTGTGATGAATAATTAAAAACCCAGAGACAGATATTGAGGTTCAAGCTGAAGATCAGAGAAGCAAAACAGCTGGCCACTAGAGAGCTCTTACCTCTACCAAGGCTTGGGAGATACTATCCTCAGTGTGGCTGAAGACTAATTGCTGAGTGAGTCCTGAATACCCTGCTCCTATCTTATATACCACTCTAGTGCTGGGATTAAAGGTGTGAGCTCTGTTTCTTTTTTAGACTGATTTACTCTCAAATAGTCGTAGATGGCCTTGAACTCACAGAGATCCATCTGCCTCTGTCTCCTGAGTCCTGGGATTAAAGGTGTGTGCCACCACTGCCCAGCTTCTATTGCTGTGGCTAGCTTTGCATTCTGATATTCAGTGGTTTTATTAGGTCGTAACCAATATATCACTACATATATACATTTTACCTTGACAACTAAGGCCCTGAGTTCATGAAAAGGAGACTAATAATGGCATTTTAAATATCACCTGGAAGAGGGAAAAGAGATGGTAAAGATGATAGGAATAGCACCGAGGCCTTCCAGCTCACATTCATAGCATGTGCTAAACCTTGCTAATTTACAAACATGGTCTCCAGGTGAACAATCACCTGTCACCTGTTGGTTCCTGAATCATTGAAACCAAGAGAGAAGGATTAAGACTTAAAGTTGAGAGAAAGGATTTTTAAAAGTCTCTTCCATAGAAACTACTGTTTTTTTTTTTAAGTTATCTAAAGAAGGTAGGCATTGTACACAGGCACACATATGCACTCAGATGTACATACAAAAACTGGGAAAGCCAGAGAATCCTTCCGGCCTGGGAATGTTCATCTCCTGCTGTGAGTGACCAGTTCTGAAAGCTTCATGTGGGAATGCTGCTGAAAGTCAGAGACATGAGCTTCTGATACCAACTCAGCTTCACACAGAGGAAACCAGAGGGACAAAGTGTGGGCCTCAGAAGCTGCCTCAGAAAGACAGAGGCCTTTGTCATTCTGGATACGATAGCATTAGTCTGAACATATGACAGACTGGTGGCTTCTTCACCAGCAGCCATCTGAACTGACAACTCCCTGAGTATAGAGGCCTATCTATACTCCTCCTAGACACTCAAAGTGAAGACTCGAACAATTTCTGTATGTTGCATAGAAATGCTATGGTTTTCTTTTTTTCCAAAAAGCACGTGGAGTTCATCAAAGGCCAAGAGAATTTAAGACTCCAGAAATCCACAAGGATGACCCCAGCTGAGACCCCTAACAATAGTGGAGAGGGTACCGAAATTGGCCTTCCCCTCTAATCAGACTGGTGACTACCCTAACTGTCATCATAGAACCGTCATCCAGTAACAGACAGAAAAAGATGCAGAGATCCACATCCAAGCACCAGGCAGAACTAAGGGAGTCCAGTTGAAGAGAGGGAGGAGGGATTATGTGAGCAAGGTGGGGTGGGGTCAAGATCATGATGGGGAAACACACAGAGACAACTGACCCAAGCTGTGGGAGCTCAGACTCTAGACTGACAGCTGGTGAGCCTGCATGGGACCAAACCAGGACCTGTGCATATGGGTGACAGTTTTGTAGCCTGGTCTGTTTGTGGGACCCCGAGCAGCTTTGTTGACTCTCCATGGGAGGACTTAACTTTTCTGAGGAGTGGATGGGGGTGGGTTGCAGGGAGGTTGGGGGAAGGGGGAGAAGGGGAGGGAGGGGGAACTGTGGGGGATATGCTGTGTCCATCATAAGATAAAAAAACACAAGGGACACAGAAGCCTGCTGAAGAATGGGAAATTGAGGATCTAAATAATCTCTGACTGGACTGAGGGTGTAGAGGAGAAGGGCATATGGTTACATTTCTACCAAACATGTGTATATATCTTATCCTGAAAAGACTGGGAAGAGAAGATTGCTCTGAAGATACCCTGAAATAGTCCATAGGAGAATCAATTAAAAAGGACCAGGGGTAGAAGGGGTAAGGGTCATCATCCCCTGAGCAAATTGAGAACATGGGAAGAGTGGGGATCGAGCTATGAGAATGAGAAGGGAAGAAAAGGAAGAATGCAGAGGTCATAAGGGAGCAGAAAAGTTGAATCAGGTGTAGATTAGTAGAAAGGATATGTGATAGGTAGGGTTTTAGTGGGGAGTGGTAGGGGAGGAAGGGAGGGAGAAGGAAACTGGGATTGTCATGTAATTCAATCTTGTTTGTAATTTAAATAAAAAAAATTTAAGTAAAAAATCTAGAACAAAAAAAAAAAAAAAAAGGACCAGGAGTAAAGCAACATTATCTAAATTAACCTTATCTAGCCCTTTGAGAATGAGAAAGCATGCCTGTGTCATGTGATTAATTATCATTATTATTATTTTCTTCTCAGAGAAAGAATGCAATTTTCACCCAGTTCAAATACTGACTCCCTGGCTTTGCCTCAGCTCACCACAGCATTGGAATGTGCTAAAATGAGCAGGGCATAACAGACAGGAGTTAACAACACACAGAAAAGCTGGTAGCTGTGTGAAACTTCTGCCTATGGAATAATGAATAACCATGGGATATTTGTATAGGGCATGGCAATTTCATGTTATCTTGTCCAATAATTTCATTTTGTAGTGGGCAGAACAGAAAGAACAGTTCCAGCAGTTCCTTGGTCCCATCCTACCTGCCACCCTTCTAGCCAAGGACCTTGCAGGCTTCTTTTAATATGGGGAACTGTCACTAAGTAGAGGAGTTTGTATTCTTTTCTAATCAAGATAGGGTCATGCACCTGAACAGCTAGGAGGTTTAGAGATGAGCACTAGTTATAGCAGAGACACATGCATATAGCAGCCATGCTATAAACTTGTGTGGGATTTCACACACTGGATCTAGCTTCTCTCTTGTCAGCTTCTCTCTGTCCAGCCCTTGAATCTCTCTTCCTGGCTATTGTTCTGATGGGTGGGCTGCTGTCCCAGACAAGTGGCTGACTTGTTGCCTTGGAGGATGTGGCACTGGTGACCACCACGTTCACCTCTATATTTGAAGGTGAAAGCTCAGTTTTGCCATTCAGATCAATACATGGAACAACTATGGTGACCAGAAAGTCACCATGGTGATGTGTCATGTGACTGGAGAAGGCCTGAAACTCTCTTTCAAGTCCCAACAAAAGGGAACAACTGGATCTGGTTGAGAGAGAAGACAATGGGCACACAGGCTTTACCAGCAAACTACTGTTAGCACCTGAAAACAATACAGTGACTCATATGATGTATTTTGCAGAGAAATGAGAAATATTCAGAAGCAACATTCCTTTCATATCTAGGACATGACCTTAGCCAGTAACATTCCTCAATGCAGCTGTAGATTTGAAAGTCTGGCTTTAGTTCCTCAGACATATCCCTTCCAAACCAGAATCATACAGAGTGTTTGCTCAAAAAAAAAAAAAGTATCTAAAAGGCAAATTTCTCGAGACACCATAAAATTGTGAGGACCAAAGCAGTGATTGGATTGATTAGCGGAGACTCAAGGTTGGGCGATAATGAGACACAGGCAAGGCTGAACAATGAAATGGTCTAATTGATTTTACGCATATGGAATGATACACACACACCCCAGTGCATGCTAGAATGAATCTGTATGCCCTGTGCACACAGATTTCACAGTGGGTCAATTATACCACCCAGATGCTTCAGTACCTTGTACTCTGTAATTTGAAAGTTAGTTTATTACTATGGTGTGAGGGCTTGGGATGCAGGCTAAAAGGTGGCATAGATCATGAAGTCTGTGGTCAGTTCATTTTCACTTTAGGGGAAAGCAACAGCACACTACATGCACATAATAGTCATGCCATAAATATGCTTAGTGCATGGAGCCTCTGAACTGTATGACCATTGATTGGGCTAGAATTCCATGGCCTGCTTTCAATTAAATTTAAGTGGATTTGACTAGAAGTTTGAACTGACGCTAATTGGTTTTCAAAACATTGGGTAACAATAAGTGTTCCTGTGTTGCCCATAGAGAGATGCACCCAGTTCAACCTATGCTCATGGTTGGCATGGGTAGCAATACATCCCTTACCTTGCTGGGCAGGGATCCAAATTGCAGGATTTCAGGAGCTGGGGGGGCCGTCGGCTGGTCACGCACAGGTTCTCATCAGCAAGCTCCCGGGTCTGTTTGTTCAGGCAGCTTACCACAGCCTCCTGGACACCTGTGTACAAATCACACTGTCAGGCCAGAGTGCAGAGTGGGTGTGTGTGGGGGTGATGAAGTGTAGACAGGCAGCTGGTGGGAGGTCTCTGATGGGTGGGACTCTCACTGCACGTTAGAGGCTACAGTTGGAAGCACAGCACTGCCAATCTTATTAAGCATCACTTGATCTAGGGTTGGGAGTACGGTTCAGTGATTGGGTGACTGCTTAGGATGAACAAGGCTCTGGTTTTGAACTCAGGCATCACAACTTTTTAAAAGTAATTATTCCATCTGAAAGGAGGAACTCATGAGCCTGTGGCTTCTCTCAGTACACCTCTTGAGGAAGATAACTTTCTGAAAACATAGGTGGCTGAAGTGCTTTAACAATGCTACCAGACAGATCCAGCCACTCTAGATATCAGTGTTGAGAATGCTAAAAGAGCTAAAGATAAATCTACCATATGATCCCAGTTATACCACTTCTTAGCATATGCCACAGGGACTTGACATCCTGTTTCACAGATACTTGCTTGCTCAGCCATGTCTGTTGCTGCTTTGTTTACAATATGTAGGAAATGGAAACAACCCAAATGTCTTTAACCAATGAATGAATAATGCAAATGTGGTGTATATATACAGTAAGGAATACTATTCTGTTGTAAAGAAAATCATGAGCTTTTCGGGTAAATGAAGAGAAAGGATAATATTGAATGAGGTAACCTTGGCCCAGAAAAGAACTTAACATGTTCTCTCTCATCTGTAGTTCCCAACCCCAAACTTTTAGATGTGAGTACGTAACCTGGAGTAAGTGTAGGAACCAGGAAGGTAAAGAGCGACCGCTGCCAGGGTAGGGGGTAGGGAGAAATAGAAGGGAGCAGCAAAGTACAAGTGATTTAAGGGAGGATATGGAAAAATGGAGGTGCTTTAATTAGGAAGGGGGAATGAATACAGAAAAAGGAAGAATGGGGTAAAATAATAAGGATGTCTGAAAAGGTTATAAGGAATCATTATCTACCTAAAATTACATATAACAATATAAATATGTAGTTTTTTCATAGTTTAAATGAAAAAGTCTCATCTGTGCTGATAATACTTCCCTCAAGATCCATAGACTATCTACAAAAATCCAAATATCAGGCATAAGAAACCCCATTTTGAATTGTTGGTCGGGGTTGACCAAGAGACTCCCCAAACATAGGCTATTGCTGTTGCACTTGGTTGTCTCTCAGAGGTTGAAGACAACATGTAGTTTGGACACATGACTGAGATGATCTGAGTTGGTTCTGAGCTAAAAAGCCTCCCCCGTGAGGAATAGTTTTCATGGTAGCAGAAGGTACCACACAAGCTTCAAAGGGAAGGAAGAAACCAACAACTCTACTTAGTTATGATGTTCATGAACTAAAGCATTGATCAATATAGCATGATAAGTCTAAGTGCAATAATGGAACACATACTGTGGTAGTAACCAAGAGCTCTCTAACTGAACTTAAGGCCTGCTAAATGAGCCAGATCATGCCTGGTACTGGAAAACCCAGTCAATTAACCAGAGCTAGTGAAATCATGTATCTTCATAGAGAACCCATTATTGCCACTTAATCAAACCACATAATCCCTAATTACATTCTAAATATTTATTCTTATATCCACAGATTTGTATAGGCTGCATCCCTCATCAAAAGATGATTCCTTGCAATAGAAAGAGATCACCACAGAAAAATACAATCAAAATGCAGATAAGTGACTATGTGGTGCCCGGCCACAATTGATACATCTATAACATATCTCCTGTACCTAAGGCTCAGGAATCATAGCAGAAGAGGTGGTAAAAAAAGATTATAAAAGCCCGAGGAACAGGAAGTTTGCTGTGAGATGTTGTCCCCTAGAAATATCAAAGAAACTAATCCATGAAGTCTTATCAACATGCCTAAACTTCACCTTGACAAGAACAGCAACGATAGACATTCTGATATGACAGGAGGAAATCTGATGGGTCCTCAACCTTAGACAAAGAACTACAGGTAACTAAGGAATGCTGAGAGCAAGAGAAATAGTCTTCCCCAGGGAAGAGTCCCCAATGCACTCATACCAAGTGGAATTTAGCTCGAAACCATAAACGTACAAGTTACTTTATATGGACTGAGCAGGTTATATTTATATATTTAGGAATACACACACACACACACACACACACACACACACAAACACACACACATACATATTGTGTGTATGTATGTGTGTGTTAAAGAAATAGTATGAATATGAGACTGAGCAAGGCAGGGTGCATAAAGAATTGAGGGAGAAAATGGAAGGGTAAATGATATAATTATAGTTTAGTGTCAAAAATACTCTAAAAATGCTACCAGACTATATAGCCACTGGTGGTAAAACATGATACTTTAGTGTAGAAGGAGCAGAACAGAGGAATAGGGTAACCACCAATCAATCAATAAATAAAAAAGAGAACCTTAGGGATCCAAGACAAAACACATTATATTTTAATGAAAGGGAGATTGCTGTGTTTGGACATGAGGTATGACATCATATTTTGGTATCCAATATTCTGTAGGCTTATCTGTTCCTATCTTGCTTTGTTTTGATTCTGTTTAATCTCTTCAGTGACACAGGGCAACTTTGATAGTTCCACCAACACATAAGATGCACAGTAACTATAGCCATAGAAAACAATATCCCAGGAGACACCTGCACACCCTAGATGATGCTAGTGTAGTGTTTTGAGCAGTGGCTGATGAAGGTTACATGGTAGATAGCTATAATGCAACACAGAAACACTTAAATGAGTCTATTGAATAGACATTCTATTCTGTTGCCCTGACGACAACTAACATCTACAGTGTCCATTATGACCTAGGTATTGTAGCTCAGAACTTAGCATACACTACTCTGTTCTTTCCACAATTCTATGCAGCAAACAGAATTCCAACCCAAGTTTTACAGAAGTGGAAAGCAAAACTTAGGAGCATGAAAAGACTTGCCCGAGGTAATGTGGTTGCTGAATGGTGGAACTGAGTGTGTCTGAGGTTCTAAGAACTCACTGACAGCACTAACATTTAAAAAGACCAAGAGGCTGTCATATCTGCTTCCCTGGAGATCTTCAGAAATAACCCAGACATTTGTCTGGAATCATTTCAGCAGTATTCAGTTTAAGAGAAGTGGCGAGACAAGATATTCTTGCTAATTTGCTTTCAGCCATATACAGTTATATATGCAAAGACACCCACATCTAAGGATATTAATCTATGCTTAGAACTCAAGCAGTTATAGTTGATACCCACCCCCTCTTCTGAGTTGTCAAATGATACCCAATAGAGTAAAAATACCTACTGCTTGTTAGTTCTCTTCTAATCTACCCTTGGTTTCTCCAAGTCTCTCAAGCAAGAGAATGTTCTCAGTGTTAGACTTACCTATGTCATCAAGCAATGGCATCATTTTAAAAAGTGACTGCAAAACCAGAATCCAAAGTGATTTCCTTCCTTCCTTTAATAGATTGTGGTACTTGTCATGTGACTGACAGTTTCAGCATTTTATTTCTCTCGCCCTAATCTTTTAGCTTCCAAGTTTTCCTTAATTTGGGTAGGCCATTTCAGGGTAGAACATCTAAGATTTATGGGACTTTAGATCATTCTATCATATTCTGTCATGCCAACTGTGGGCAGATCTCCAAATATGGAAATTCATGGTATGATGACATAACACGACAGATCACAAGATTTTGTTGCTACCATCTGTGATTTCCCATGGGGATGGTATAGAATTCTTAAAGCCATGATGACAAGCCACTACATGCAGCTTACTGTTATGGTTTTAATCTGAGATACCCCCTAAAGGCTTATGAAACGGGAGTTTTATTGCTGAAAGGAAAGGGATTGAATCCTGAGGCTGCTACCAATGCTGTTGAAATACTTTAAAAATGCACCACACCATAGAGCCACTGATGCCAAAATGTGATAATTTAATGCAGAAGGAGCGCTGCATGACACAGTAGCCAAGATCAAACACATTATCTGTAACCTTGCTGGATTCGATAGCTCCCACCCCATTGTCCTAGAACCTAGGAAGGTGAGGCAGGAGGATTGCTGCTAGTGTGAAGCCAGGTAGCTACAGAGTAGGATTACCATGAGTTCTGGGCCAGCATGGAAAAATTGAAACAGCACAACTTTCTGGCCTCATCAATGAGTACCACTGACAGATTCACAATATGATGGCCAGGTTTAGGAAGGAAAGTGGGTAACTGGGAGTGTGCCCTGGAAAGATACATCAGTCAAATGATCTCTCTCCTCCACAATGAGGATGGTCTGAATAAGTTTTCTCTGCCATGTGGTCCTGCAGCTATGATGTTCCACCTAACCACAGGCATATGGCAGTGAAGGATGCTAACTATGGACTGGAATCCCTTAAACTTCGAGCCAAAGTAAATTTTTTTCCCATGAAAATGATTCTCTCAGGCATATGTCACAGTGATGAAATAGCAACTACGCTACTGTCCTATACAAAACCTAGAGCTGCCAGAATTGGTTTTCTAGATCACAATCCCAATGGTTTTCACAAGAAGCAAAAACACTTAGGAATAAATTTAACTTAACAGGTGAACAACCCCTCTGCAGTAAAGACCTGAACACCCTGGAAAAAAACTGAAAAGGGACTGAAAGAGGCAAAGACATTCCATACTCAGGGATAAACAGAGTATGTTGTTAAAATGGCTGTATTAAGGTGATTCACAGAGTCAATGCAATTCCCATCAAAATTCCAATGACATTCTCCACAGAAGCAGAAAAGCCAATCTGAGGAGTCATATGCAAGCATCAAAGGCCTTATAGTAGAAAGACCAACACTAAAGGTGTCCCAATACCCAATCTCAAATTATAGACCAACAAAATCAGCTTTACACTTGCACAAAACCAGACCAGCATTCCCATAGAATAGAATGGAGAATGCAGACAAAAAGCCCACAAGATATATAACCACAAAGGCATAAAAACCACACATTGGAGGAAAAAGACA